ACGGCGGCGGGATGTGCTGCGGGCCGGGCTTGTCCGAGGTTTATTTTCCCGTAGAGAAAGAGCCCGTGTAAATATGTATTTATATATACACGTAGATATACACACACGCCTAACTATAGGTGTATACCGATCTGTATATATGCACGCACGCTTATGTATGTATATATGTGCGTGTATAGATATTTTTCCCCCTATTTTATTTTCCCGTAGAGAAAGAGCCCGTGTAAATATGTATTTATATATACACGTAGATATACACACACGCCTAACTATAGGTGTATACCGATCTGTATATATGCACGCACGCTTATGTATGTATATATGTGCGTGTATAGATATTTTTCCCCCTAAATCAAATCTCTGTGAAAGCCGCCCGCTATTTCCGACGAACGGAAAAGTTTGCTGTACGATATTCTCGCTCTATTTCAACATTTTGATATTCGTTAATTGAAAACAACCAAAAAAAGAAAAGGCGAACAAATACGAAGGGCGCGGAGCGGGACTGGAGGGAAGATTTTTTTTTCTTTTTAACCATCCAAAGAAAGGCGTAACAATTCCTTGTCGAGCTCCGCGTCGGGCAGCGCGGCGGAGGACGAGCGGGCAGCAGAATTGGCTAAGTTAACAGGTCGTGCGCCATGGGCTTGCCTGAGATTTGTTGTGCTTGAGAGGTCGGGGAAGACTTATCCATTAGCACAGTGTTATGTGAAATGACATCTTCTCTCACGGTGAGTTAAACGCTGCATTACGGCGAGAGATTGCGAGGAAATTTAAGGTAGAACTAATCTCATTTCCCGGTGCACCGCAGCCCTTTAGCTAAAAGAAATTTGTTTGCAAAATAAACCATCCAGCGCTAGGGCTGGAAATCTCCCTTCCTCCGTCTCCCCCTCGCTCGCTGTTCATCTGCCCGCTCCCCTCTCGCTCTGCCCGTCACACGGTTTCGGAAGGTGTCCGGAGCAGGGATGGCACCCGGTAACGCGCTTCTGCGCGCCCGTGAAAACGGACTTTCCCTCCCGCGACAACACGGCGTTTTAAACCCGCGTTTATTTCTCTTCCGTCATTGAACCAAACCACATTTTTAAAAAGAGAACTTTAAGGGCGGAAAGTGCGCGCTGCGGG